CCCCAATCTGTCTATTGCTGAAATCTGTCTAGTGCTGAACGAAGTCCCCCAATACTATTGTTTTGTAGTCTAAGTCTCCCTTTAAGTGCTTTAACATATCTTTTAAATAACCCAGTGCCCTGTAATTAGGTCCTATACGTTTATAATATTTACTTCTTCTGGTTGTAATGATCCCTTAATCCTTGTATACTGTCCCTCTTTGTTCTCTTAACAGTTTTAGTGTTAAAGTTTATTTTGTCTGATATTAAGATGGCTACCCCAGCTCTTTTTTGGTTTCTGTTGGCATGGAATATCTTTTGCCAACCTTTCATTTTCAGTCTGCATACACCTTTGTTGGAAAGATGTGTTTCTTGTAAGCAGCAAATAGATATTTTTCTTTTAATCCAGTTAGCCAGCATTTGTCTTTTAACTGGAGAATTGAGGCCATTTATATTGAAATGACTATTGATAAGTAGTGACTATGCCCTGTGATTTTGCCAAAGATATTTTTAATATATACTTTGAACTTCCTGTGATCTTTTACTGAGAGATTTTCTTCTTTTACATTCTCGTATTGATGGCCATGTTTCTGTGTTTCTGTGTGTAACACATCTTTAAGCACTTTTGCAGGGCTTGATGAGTGGTGATAAATTATTTCAATTTCTATTTTCTATGAAACGTCTTTATTTCACCTTCATTTACAAATGAGAGCTTTGCAGGATATAATATTCTGGGGTGGCAGATTTTTCTCTTAGTATTTGGGCTATATATTGCCCTCCCTCCTTGCCTGTGGGGTTTCTGATGAGAAGTCTGCTGTGAGTCTAATTGGAGATCCTCTGAGAGTAATCTGGCATTTTTCTCTTACACATTTTAGAATCTATAGGTGTGTGGATTCACTTTTGGAATCTCTTGTGTTCCATGGGTTTATGTGTCTGTTTTTAAGTCAGTACTATATGGTTTTATATAGTTCTAAATCAGGCATTGTGATGTCTCTAGCTTTGTTATATTTGTTCAGGATTGCACTGTATAATCAGGGGCTTTTGTGTTAACGTATTAATTTTAGGAATGTTTTGTCCAGTTCTGCAAAGAATGCCATTGGTATTTTGATAAGGGTTGCATTTGAATCTGTAAATCTCTATAGATAGCATGAATAGTTTAACAAAACTACTTTTTTTCAATCCATGGACATGGAATGCTTTTCCACTTTTTGTGTCTTTTTCAATTTCCTTCATCAAGGCTTTATAATTTTCATTGTGGAGGTTTTTCACATATTTGGCTAAATTTATTCCTAGGAAAGTTCTTTTGGGAGTACCTATTGTGAATGGGACTGCTTCCTTGATTTTTTTTCTTTTCCACAAGTGAACTACTGGCTTATAAAAATGTTGATTTTTGTATCCCACAACTTTTACTGAATTCACTTACCAGATCCAATAGTATCTGGGAGGAGTATTCATAGTTTTCTACAAATTGAATCATACCATCTATGCACAAGCATAATTTGACTTCTTCCTTTCCTATTTGTATATCTTTTCTTTCTCTTACCTAACTGCTCTGGATAACACTTCCAATACAATTCTGAATAAGAATGCTGAGAGAGAACATCCTTACCTAGGTCCAGACCTTATAAGAAACAATTTCAGCTTTTTTCTATTTCGTAGAATGAGGCTTGTGTTATGTCACAGATAGCCTTCATTATGTTGAACCATAATTCTTTTATTCTTAATTTGTTTAGGGTGTTGGATTTTATTTAATGCTTGTCCTACATCTACTGAGATTACCATATGACTTTTGACCTTCATTCTTTTGGCATATTATGTTATTGATTTATACACGTTGGATCATCCCTATGTCCCTCAGAAAAATCTCAACTGATTACAGTGGTTGATTTTTCTGATGTGATAGTCGAATCAGTCTGCCAATATTTTGTTGAGAAATTTTGGATCTTTGTTAATCAGTGAGAATAATTTGCAAATTTCTTTTTCCTTTCTTCCTCTCTCCCTCTCTCCTTCCCTTTATGACCTGTGTCTGGTGTTGGTATCAGAGTAATGTTGGTCTTCTTGAATGAGTTTAGAAGGGTTCCCTCTCTTTAAATTTTTAACAATAGTTTTAAAAGGACTGGTGTTAATTCTTAAATGTTTGGAAGAACTCAGATATTAAGCAATGGGGTCCTCAGCTTTTTTTTTTTTTTTTTTTCGGAAGACATTCTATTACTGATTCATTCTTGTTATTTATCACTGGTCTGGCCAGGGTTTCTACAACCTCATGGTTCAATTCTGGCAGGTTATTTTGTCTATAAATGTATCCATTTCTTTTGAATCTTCCAATCTGTTGGCATGCAGTTGTTGCTAACAGTCCCTAAAGACTCTACTTCTGTGGTATCAATTGAAATGTCTTCCTTTTCAACTCTGATATTACTTTTATAAATCTTCTTTGTTTCTTTATTGAAAACTATTAAATAGAGTTTGTTGATGTTGTTTTCATTTCCAAGAAATAAACTAGTTTTCAGTATTGTTTTCCTTAATCTCTTTCATTTATTTCTGCTCTTTGTTATGGCTCCTCTTGTACTAATTTTGGTTTTGGTTTAGTAATCGCTGAAGAAGAAGGGAGGAGTAATTAATGTGTCTTATAAGGTTAGTGCTATAGTTTGAACATGATTTGGTTTACCAAATAATGTAGGCATTTCAATTCCAAAGTCTGGGATGGGCATTTGGCCTAGTGGTTAAGATACCAATTGAGATGGCCACACCTCATATTAAGAGTGCCTGGGTTCACGTTCTGGCTCTGCTTCTGATTTCAGCTTCGCTCTAATGCATACCCTGGGAAGCAGTGGTGACGACTGAAGTAATTGGGTTACTGTCATCCACATGAGACATCAGAATTAAATTCCCAGCTCCCAGCTTGGGTTTGGGCAATGACATGTATTTCTGGCATGAAACAGTGAATGCCAGAGCACTAGCATGCTCCATCAAATTAAAAATTTTTAAATAGAATTTAAATCTTATGCTAATAGTGCTAGAAGACCGGCACCACGGCTCACTCGGCCAATCCTCTGCCTGCAGCGCATGCATCCCGAGTTCCGGTCCCGGCCGGGGCATGGGACTCTGTCCTAGTTGCTCCTCTTCCAGTCCAGCTCTCCACTGCTGCCCAGAAGCACAGTGGAGGATGGCCCAGGCCCCCGGGCCCTGCACCTGCATGGGAGACCAGGAGGAAGAACCTGGCTCCTGGTTTTAGATCAGCACAGCAAGCCGGCCACAGAGGCCATCTGAGTGGCGAACCAATGGAAAAGGAAGACGCCCCTCTCTGTCTCTCTCCCTTTCACTGTCTAACTATGCCTGTCAAAAACCTAAATAAATATATAAAAATTTAAAAAAATAGTGCTAGGAGAGTGGAAACTTAATGCAATTATGAAGTCTGAAGGTAGGGCCTCTGGGAATTAGGCTACAAGGTGAAATATCACAACTAATCATAAGTTTATTAGGAGAGGCAACAGGACTGAGTCTGTTTCATTTGTCTGCTTTGTGGATCACCACGTGATTCCTTCTCGGCATATATTCCACCATCCATCACCTTGTCAGATACCAGGTCAATAGGGATGGATGATACTGGACTGTGAACCTCCAAAATGGCAAAAATGTTCTTTTTCCTTATTTTCTCTCAGGTATTCAAGCTGTGATCATAAGAAGCTGATAATCTGGTGGTGATTAATTTCCTGTTTTTGCTTGTATTAGAAAGTCTTTATTTTCTCCCTGCATCTATAAATGATAGCTTTGTCAGATATAATATTCTTGGTAAGCAATTTTTCATTCAGAGCATGGAATACATTATTCCATTCCCTCATGGTTTCGTTGAAAAATATCTTGCTAGTCTAATGAGTATTCCCTTAAATGTGACTTGCCACTTTCTCCTGTAAATTTTAGAATTCACTTTTTGGGGCCAGCGCTGTGGATTTCTGGGCTAAGATTCCGGCTGCAGTGGCGGCATCCCATAGGTGCTCTGGTTTGTGTCCTGGCTGCTCTTCTTCCAATCTGACTCTCTGCTATGGCCTGGAAGGCCGCAGAAGATGGAACAAGTGTTTGGGCCCCTGCACCTGCATGGGAGACCTGGGAGAAGCTCCTGGCTTCCAATCAGCTCAGCTCTGGCTGTTGCGGCCATCCGGGGAGTGTCCAGTGGATGAAAGATCTTTCTCTCTATCTCTCCCTCTCTGTAACTCTACCTCTTAAATAAATAAATATTACTTTTTTAAAAAAATTCTCTTTTTGTATGGTACTTTTGAGAATTTGACTATAAATGTGTCACAATGAGGATTTTCCTGACCATTTCTATTTGGGATTGTATGGGTCTCTTATACCTAGATATCCATATCTTTCTCCAGTTTGAGTATCTTTTCATATATGGTATCACTATGATATGATATGTTGAAAAGCTTTACTATGATTTTATTCCTCTCTTCTCCTTCAGGGATCCCAAACTTCAAATACCGTTTCATTTTAGTGGTATCCTAGAAGTCTGGGAGACTGTCTATTGATTTTTCTTTTTTCTCTGACTGGGATTTTTCTTAAGATCTATCTTCAAGTTCAGATACTCTTTTCTTTTATTTAATAAGCATAAATTTCCAAAGTACAGCTTATGGATTACAATAGCCTCCCCCCCCATAACTTCCCTCCCACCCACAACGCTCCCCTCTCCCACTCCCTCTCCCCTTCTCTTCACATCAAGATTAATTTTCAATTATCTTAATATACAGAAGATCAATTTAGCGTATATTAAGTAAAGATTTCCACATTATGCTCCCACACAGAAACACAAAGTGTAAAATACTATTGAGTACTAGTTATAGCATTAATTAAACACCTAAGAGTAATTGTGTATTAATTACAGAGTTCAACCAATAGTTTTAAGTAGAATATCAATGCAACTTTTGTATTGTTGTGGCTCCCCCCCAACCTCCCTCCCTCCCATGGCCCTCCCATCTCCCACTCCCTCTCCCATCCCGCCCTTCATCACGTTTCATTTTTGGTTACCTTCATATACTGAAGATCAACTTAGTATATACTAAGCAGGGATTTCAACAGGCTGCACTCACACAACCGAACCAGGTATAGGGTATTGTTCGACTAGTAGTGTTGTTTTTGAGTTTCATAGTTAAACACATTAAGGACAGAGATCCTACGTGGGGAGCATGAACCCAGTGACTCCCGTTGTTGATTTAACAATTGGCACTCTTATTTATGATGTCAGCAATCACCCGAGACTCTTGCTATGAGCTGTCTAGGCTATGGAAGCCCCTTGAGTTCACCAACTCTGCATTTGTTTAGTCAAGGCCATATCACAGCGGAGGTTCCTTCCTCCCTTCAGAGAAAGGCGCCTCTCTCCTTGATGGCCTGATCATTCTGCTGGGGTCTTGTTCACCAGGATCTTTCATTTAGATTGTTTTTTGCCACCGTGTCATGGCTTTCCATGCCTGTGAGACTCTCATGGACCTTTTAGTCAGATTGAATGTCCCAAGGGTTGATTCTGAAGCAGGAGTGCTGTTTTGGGCATTTGCCATTCTATGAGTCTGCTGTGTGTCCTGCTTCCCCTGCAGGATCATTCTCTCCCTTTTGATTCTTTCCTTCATTATTTGCTTACACTGGTCTTATTTGTGTAATCTCTTCGACACTTACCCTATCTTTTTGATCGGTTGTGTAATTTATACTTATCACTTTACCAATTGCGCTGGCATTGGTACCTGCCTCCTTGGTAAGGTTGAAGATACTCTTTTTATAATTAAAAAAAAAGGTCTACGTTTTTGAAAGGCAGAGAGAGGAAGAGACAGAGATAGGGATCTTCCATTGGCTGATTCACTCCACAAATGCATCCCTGTGCCCTATGTTCATTTTAAAGTTGTATCTCATATTTTTATTATTTATATATTTATTTGAAAAACAGAGTTACTGGGGGAGGGAGAAATAGAGAGAGGTAGAGAGAGAGAGAGAGAGAGAGAGAGAATCTTCCATCTAATGGTTCATTCATCAAATTCCACAACTGCCAGCACTACACCAGGCCAAAGCCAGAGCCAGGAATTCCATCTGGATCTCGCACATGGGATTTGGGGGCCCAAACATTCTGTCCATCTTCCATTGTCTTTCCAGGCACATTAGCAGGGAGCTGGGTAGAAAGTGAGGCAATAGGGCCCCCACATCAAAGACAGTGGCCCATTCCAGTGTGTTATGGTCTTGGGCCTGTAACTCATACATTTAAAATAGTAAAATGAGAATGAATAACTACCAGCTAAGAATTCAGTAAATTGATTTACTAATCTATTTTTGGTAGAATTCAAAATTAATACAATCTTCTGGAAATGAAGTGCCAAAATGTCTCAAGAATAATAAAATCATTGTAACACTTAGTATAAATTTATACAAATGCTGTCATAAAATAATATTAAAAGTGAAATTAGCAGCTGTATAATCATTCATTATTTATGAGTGAGAGGTTCTTCTTCTAGAAGAGTTTTTATTGCAAAAATATTATAGCATTAGATTGTACTGAGCCTTTCTTTAGGAAGAAGAAGGAGGAAAACTAACATTAATTAACTAAATTTTCTAGGGGGCAGGCATTGTGGTACAGGTAAGCTACCACTGGGAATACCTGCCTTCAATATCAAAGATTGGGTCTTGCCTCTACTTTGGTTACAGTTTCCCATTAATGTGCCTGGGAGGCAGCGACTGACAGTCTGGGTACTTGGTTTCCTACCACCCTTGGGGTAGACCTAGATGGAAGTCTTGGCTCCTGGTTGTGGCCTGCTCCAGGCCTGGCTGTTACAAGTATTTATTGAGTGAACAAACAGATGGAAGATCCCTCAGTTTCTCTCCCTCTTTCTCTCTCTTTCTCATTCTGGCTTCAAATAAATTAATAAACAAACTTAAAAATATGACAAAATATCCAGCCACTCTTAAAGACATTATTTTTTAACTATATTTGACAAAATTATTTTCAGTGCCCATTTTTTAAGTAGGTACAGTAATGTACTGGAAAATTTGATAATTGATTCCATAAAGATAACTTTAAGAAAAAGCAAAAACAGGATTTGATTTCCACACTTTTAAACCAAAATCCATATGCTTCAAAATGGCTTGTACTCTGCTGCACTCCCGGTGTCTAGTACTACTTGACTATTACAAGAAAAATTGATGTTAGTGCTTTCTTAGGAAATTTGAAATTTTAGAATCTGAAAAATTAACACCAAAACTCATTAATATGTATAAGGATATTTTACAAGGCTTGTGGAAAACAGAATTAGAAAGTTAATCTTCTTTTGGTGCTAAAAATTGTGAAATCCAGATACAAGGATCTCTAAAAATTCTTTGCGAAATGCACACTCTGGAAAACCTGTGGATTATGTTAGATAGTTTTTGTACCAAAATACACTTATTTCCCATTTTCTGCAACCTTTTTAAAAATATTTGTGTGTTACATGATATGGCCCAAGCTAATAGATAACCAATAACAAATTAAGGTGTTATATTAAATTATCTGCATCTAAAAATGACTATAACAGAGAAAACGAGTGTGATTGCAAGGTGGGCACACTAGAATGAAGTGTGGGATGATGAGCTGGAGGTGGAAAACGTTGAGTATATTTCCAAAAAGTTAGTGCTCAGAATGGCCATTCACTCCAGTCATTTCTCAGAAGACTTAGCATTACCAACACTTTAATGACTCACTGAACACAACCAGAATCCTGAGCAATAAAGTTAGGCAAGTAAACAGATGAACAAACAACACTGACCATAGTGATGTCTATGCATCAGAAGCTGAAAGAAAGGATGGATTGACCAGACACTCTGTCCCAAGCCATTCATTCCTTTCAGTGTTTTTGCATACAGTGCAGAGTAGATATTTGTCTCTGAGGTTTATTTTTCTAGGAAGTATTATTTACAGATTAATAGGGTGTAAAAGTTACCTGCTCCTCAAAAGTGCTGAAGATGAATCTAGGAGAAGTAAAGTGATGCTGTAGATGTCGATAATATGTTTTCCTTTGCTTAGTCTTCTTTTTGTGCACGAAATACAGGGAGGAAGCACAGTCACTCTAAGTAGTGTGATTTAAAGATTTATATTCACCACTTAAAGATACCACACCAGTAGGCAGCTAGATCAGTAAATCTTGTCTAATTCTTAACAGCAGGCAGACAAGTCTGTGGAAAGAGAGAAAAATATTGTACTGTGGGGTGAATCCAATAAACTGATGTGTAGAAAGAATTAGAGTTGTACTAGTATTCTCAAAAAATCATTCACATTTTTTGTTCTCTTTAGACTTTTAAGCTCCTCATGTTATGGAAATATATTTTCAAATTACAGAGATATTGCAAAAACTTTTAAGACAATAGGGTAGGGTTTTATTATTTGTGTTTGTTTTATTATGGTGGCCTTGAAACTGTTTTAGAAAATGAATATGAATAGCTCAGGTCTGACATTTTCTGTTGCTGGCTATGGTTATATCACTGACTACCCTTTCACACTAGCCTTTTTGACTTCTTTTTATACCTAGCAAAGGAGTGGCAAACATCGGGGAAAATGGAAATAGTGACAAAAATTCCCTATTATGCCACTTGAACATTTCAATTTATAACAGAGTGCTTTAACAAAAAGTAAAAGTGAAATTATTCAAAGATTACTTGATGATTCCTGAAAATGAGGAAATATGCATCAGTAGTTTCTATTCAAAATTATATAAAGTAACTGTCCTCAATTATTCCCACACAATATGCCTGGAGATTTGCAGAACTCATTAATTTGATAGCATTCATACAAGCCTTTAAACACAGGCTGAAATCAATTCAAAGTTATATTATTTTCACCCTACTAAGATGATTTTGGCAATTGCTTTGCCAAGAGTACAATTTGTCTCTGATTGTTGGCAAACATTGTAAAACCGTCCGTGCACAGATATGATACCTATGATATTTGAATATATTCTGAAAAAGGTATCATTTTCTTATGAAATACTGATGTCCAAGAAGTATTTGAACGTGTTCATCATCATTAGCCAAGAGGGAAATATAAATTAAACCTGCAATGATGCATCATAATCTCACTATTGTTAGAATGGCTATTATCTAAAAGACAACAACAACAAAAAAAAAACCTGGACGCGCATGTGTTGTCGCATAGCAGGCTTAGCTGTTGTCTGCATCACAGGCATCCTATATGGGTGCCAGTAGAGAAAGGCCTCAGTGTTTGGGTCTCTGCACTCATGTGAAAGACCTGGAAGAAAGTCTTGGCTCCTGGCTTTAGCCTTGCCCAGCCCTGACTGCTGGAGGAGTGAATTAGCAAATAGATGACTGCTCTCTCTCTCTCTCTGTCTTTTCCTCTCTCTCTGTAACTCTCACTTCCAAATAAATAAAATAAACCTTAAAAATAAATGACTGGATAGGATATGAAGAAAAAGAAATCCTAATACATTGTTGGTTGGAATTCAAATCAATGCAATCATTATGCAGAATAGTATGAATTTTCCTTATAAAATGGAATGAAATCAATGCTTGAAAGAGATACTTGCATTTCACACTTATTGTAATCCAATTCCCAATAGCCAAGATTTGGAATCAACTTAGATGTCCATAAATGGAAGGATGGATAAAGAAAATATGGTATATATACACAAGAGAATATTATTTAGCCATAAAAAAATGAAACCCTGACCTTTCCAACAGTATTGATGGAACTGAAAATTGTTGGGTTAAGTGGATTTGTCAGACACATTAAAAAAAAAAATAACAGCTACATGTTTTCTCTCAGATGTGGAAGTTAAAAATGTGTGTGATCTCAGCCTGTTTAAAGGCTTGTATGAATGCTATCAAATTAATGAGTTCTGCAAATCTCTGGACATAATGTGTAGGAATAATTGAGGACAGTTACTTTATATAATTTTGAATAGAAACTACTGATGCATATTTCCCCATTTTCAAGAAAGTTGAGAAAACTAGTTGAATCTATATTATTCCATTCCATCAACTGGGTCCTTATCACATATTAACCTCACCAGCATTCAACATGTTTCAACTATTTTTTTGGACACAGTTATTCTCCATATTTATGCAACTTCATTATTTTCTATTATTACTGATATTATTTGCCTCTGCTTTTCTCTTTACCTCTCAGCTGCTGATACTCAGTCTTCCTTTTACTCCTCTTGATCTACATAAACCTGGCTCAATCCAGGATCTGATTCTG